TCTAGGTGTCATCTGACCACATGATATTCTCCCAATCCCCTTCTGGATCATCCATCTGCTCTCCGGGAAACTTCAGGCGGGTCTAGACATGTTCTAGCTTGAGCAGGGGGACACGTCCAGTACTGCAGGAAATGAGTCCCTCTTGGTGTAGGGTGATACTTATGGTAGCCTTTGTTACCCTGTTGCCAGCTCTCTGCACCATTAATCAGGTCCCTCCATGTAGTTCTGGGATTGTTGCTCACCGTCAACATTTGATCACTTTGACCCCACGGGATGAGATCTTACTTGGAGCCTCAGATGGAGGGAGATTATCACTGGTCTTGTATATTTTTTTCCATTTTCTTACAAATGCTCCCACAGTTGATTTTGTCACACCAAGCCGTTTGCCTATTGTAGATTCACTCTTCCCAGCCTGGTGCAGGTCTAGAATTTTCTTCATGTGTCCTTCAACAGCTCTTTGGTTATGGTCATTGTTAAATTTGTAGTGTGTCTGTTTGAGGCTGTGGACATGTGTCTTTTATACAGATAACAGGTTCAAACAGGTGCCAATGATAAAGGTAATGAGTGGAGAACAGAAGAGCGGTGTGTAAAAACCAGAAATCTTGCTGGTTAGTGGGTAACCAAATACTTATTTTTCTACCATAATTTACAAATACAGTCTTTAAAACAGTCCAAAGTTCTGTCCAAACTTTATTTATTCATTTTATAGTCGAATCCATCTGAATATATGCTATTGTACATAACTGTAAAAACCCTTTTTATAGCAATATCCACCTGTATATTATATTCGGTACATATCCAGTTGTGAATAAAGTTGATGACACTAGTTATCTATATATTATATTCATCTATTAGTAAGATTCTGTTTATAATGGTATTCATCTCTATACTCATTCAGTAGAACCCATGTCCTGTATTATGGAACCATTATTTATCCTGCACTTCTGGTTAGACCTAAACTGCATTTCGCTGCCTCGTACCTGTACCTGTGTAATGACAATAAAGTTGAATATAATCTGATCTAATCTAAAAATGTTTTTTCCTTGATTTTTTTTTTTCTCATTTTGTCTCTCATTGTTGAAGTGTATGATGAAAATTATAGACCAATATCATTATTCTAAGTAGGAGAACTTGAACAATCAGTGGCTCACTAAATACTTTTTAAATCTGGAAAAACAGATGTTTTTGAAGAATCAGTTTGTCTGTTGCTGGAAGCCTTTTACTGCATTGCTCAAAGCCACCTTTTTAGCTCCACTAGAGGGCGCCATCATCCAGTAGGCGGAGCTCTCCTTGTGCTCTGTGTTCCAGCATTGTGTCAATAATAAGTGTTGCTGTGAAGAGAACAATAGTCAGACTGAATGTTGAACATCAGCTNGATAAATGATGAATGTCCATTAAATGTCCATTAAAGGTCCAGGAGGAAGATGGTGGGGATTTGTTCTCTAAATCATTGGTGCTCAGCAGATGATGTCCAGCAGGGCAAACCTTTCAGAGGCCCTGAAGGGGGTGAGGGAAATTTACAGCAGGAACTTTTCACATTAAAGTACTTTCAGGATTAGTAAAGGTTTTATTTTCTACACACGTTTTGATTTTTTAATGCTTCTTCTGTCTGCTGAGCTTTTGATGACACATGGAGGTCTGTGTTGAACTGAGTAAAGTTTGCAATGGAGCCTGTTGAGTGTCAAGCAGTGATTCGCTTTTTCTTTTGGAAAGGACTCACTCCACAGGAGACCTTCGATGAAATTAAAGTTACTTATGGTAATGATGTCCATTATATGACCTTGCAAAATTTTTGACAAGATTACATTATGGGACATTATCACTATGAGCTACTTTCATTTGATCAAAAGTGTCACCTTGTATGCTTCCCTTCAAATGCAAAAACAGAGACTTGACTCAGTTTGATCATCTGTAAATCAGAAACCACAGTTAGTTCAGAGCTGTAACTTGCTATTTCATCTATAAAGATTTAAATAATTTCACATGCAAATTTCAGGTCGATCAAACATCTGGAAGTGGGTCAGGAGCATTACTTCTTGAACACCCCTCATAAAAGGTTAAAGGTCACCATCATTACTGCAGGTAATCACCCTGTTATTGTTACATTATCCAACGTAAAGGTTGGTTTAAAACATTTGAAACGTTTAGTCTTTGAAATCGTAGGGAATAAGCTGGTGAAGATCCTCATTCATCCAGGTCATAGTCATCCCATACAAGTTTAAAAAACAATCCACTGGACTTGGTTTCCAAAGTCTAAAGATGTTTCGCTTTCCCTCCAGGAAGCTTTCTCAATTCAAAATGTCTGGATTGCATTGAGTTTGAGGCTTTATATATACAAGGCCTTGTATTGCTTGGAAACATGCAAACCGAAACTGTCGTTTGGTTCCATTGTTAGCCTGTAATATCTGACAACTATCTATAATTGTGAAAGATCGGTCGTTAAACAACAATCCC